GCATTTGAACAGTAAATAGCAAATACTTAAACTAATAACAAAACAGTAGCTGATTCAGAAGCGCCAGATTGTCATAGCAAAGTCAAAATTACCTCCTCTCCTAGGTTCACGAAACGGTCGTCCATAAAATGCATTGCTGTTATTTTGTAAGTAATCTTAAAGATTGCTAAATGCATCTACTTTCGGATGGCCAAATAAAGTGCTTTTGCTTTCGCCTAGAAACACACAGCGTCTCCCTGACATGGCTGCTTCAACACTAACTGCGGTTACTGAAACCACGCCTTCTTTCTTTTTGTGAACATTTGGGCGGCATTATGCAAATATTTCCACATAGTGAGGTAGATATGTGGGGTCGTGTTAGAACGAGCCGTTTGGGGGGGCGTGGCAGAGTCTTAACTTTGATAAAGAATATCTCTTTGGTTTTGAAACTTTAGTCTTTGCAACTTCAGGGATCTTATCTATGCACAATCAGCTTGTAACACTCCAAAGAAAAAGGAAAACTTGAAATCGCATCATATGACCCCTTTAATATTTTTTGTTTTATTTAACAGCAGAAACGAATGAATCCCACACAGTACCAGTACTTGCAAATGTATCAAAAAATAGATTTATTCACAACATTGATTGATTAACTGTTGATTAATTAGTTATATTTAACAACAACACTGGATAGTTGTTCTTTATGCCCCAAATATATGCCACAGTGATGTTACCGTTAAGCTTGTACGATACATGTTTGCTTGTTGGCGTACTTGCATAAGTTATGTTTCTGGCCTCAAAATTTTATTTTACTTTTTTTTTTTAATATATAGACATAAAATAGCACTCTGCTAGTATTACTACTTTTTACCCATTTAGTCACAATTTTTGCATAGTTTCAGCTCCAGCGCCTGGTGGTCCCCCTGTGCAACAAGCTCCACCAATAACTCCAGTTTCTCCTCCACCACCTCCTCCTCCTCCTCCATGCCCCGGCATGCAGAGGAGCTATTCCGCCATTGATCTCATCCGAGAGCGGCGTGGGAAAAAGACTGAAGAGAAGACCGTACTGGACTCGGCACCTAAAAAGACAGAGCTTCCCAACATGCTAGACGTACTCAAAGACATAGGCAAAGTGAAGCTGCGCTCAGTTAAGAGGTGAATGTTACAGGGCTTTATCTGGACAGTGATGGCATACAAAGCTGATTGTAAACACTTACCAATAGAGTTCATTTGTCCTTTCATTCCCAGTCATCAAGAGGACACAAAACCAAAACATGTTGAGCCCACAGATGCTGCAACATTAATCGCAGAGGCCCTGAAACGCAAGTTCGCTCACCGCTACCGGAGCGATAGTGAATGTGATGGCAACTTTAACTTGATAGATCCTGAGAATAAGACCCATGTAGAAACACCAGAGGTAAGAGAAATCACTTGAAAAAATTATGTATATTGTCATAGTGCCATAGTCACTTTGTGCCATTGCTTTTGCAGTTTGGACAGCATATGTTAAAATCAACTGGAAGGAGGAAACTGTACTAGGATGGAGCAACTCATCTGAGCAGGTTAATGTAGTTACCCTGATGTCTTGTAATTTTCAAAAACCGGCTAACTTTTCTTGTTAGCCCTCAAAATGTTGTTAGTGTTCATTTAGGTGAGCATGCAAATGCCAAACACTATGCAGTCAGTCTGGTTTCGCTATTGGATATCTATGTAATTTTGCACTTTGAAAAGTTCAACTCTATCAATGCATCTTGTACAACAGCCAGTCCCATCATTAATGCCGGTTATGTGAGAAATGCCTTCCTTTTGTTGGGTTTTATGTATGATTTTATATGTGGATTTATTTGGATCTGTTGGTAGTCAACAGTGCAAGTATTCAACCTTGTTGAATTCCTCTCATTTGAAGGCATAACGTTAAATGAAAACACCAAAGTGTATGGATTGGTCTTTATCAGTAGTTTTATGTGTATTTTTAACACCTGTTTGCACAGAAGTTGTCTACTTCAAAGGTACAGTTCATACTTTTCTTTTTGTTTTAGTTACTTCAGGTTTTTCTGTCATGTAACCACTATAGCAATTATGAACCACACTTTTGTGATCATAAATAAGGTTTAGATGGTGCTGTCAGTAGTTGAAGAATTATTTAATGGGAGCTCATTTAAAATACTTTTAAGCTTCTAATTTATTTTGAAACATTTACATGATATGGTTCTGGAAGTAATGTAGTTATTTAACCAGTTTAATAAATACTTGAATAATGTAGTTTTGTTTGTCCATGACATATCAAGCTTGCTATCTTTAGTCCAGTGCCGTTTAATTAGACTTCAGTCGATCAGCAGAATTGTTTGACAGTGTTTGTACCTTTTAAAATGTCTGTATTTTTGCACATATAACTAAAAAATGTCTGCTGCGCACCAGAAGTCAGTGCATTTGAATTATATTACAGTACAGGATTTCTCATTTCAAAGATTTATACTGGATGTAATGGCCAGCACATAGGAAGAGTACCTCAGAATTGAAGGGAATCTCTTAGTGGAGACATTTTTCTGTTTTATTATAGATTATGATCATTTTTCTAAATGGGTTGATTTTATTTCACACTACAGAACCATTTTTAATGGACTTTCATTTCTTGAATAAACCTAAGACTGTCAATCTGTGTCTTCATTTCTGTATTGAGGCTTCTATTTGGCTACATTTTGACACTCATCACGTGATTAAGTTCATATAGAACAGCGTGACTGCATGCTATCCGGTAGAGAAACATTTTGTGAGGTTTTATTCATCAAAAATGCAACTGCAACAAGTATGTATCAAAAGGTTATACGGCAAAGCCTTTACAAAATGGCTTGACACATAGGTCGTCTCCCCAAAATGGCTGTTACAACAAACTTTAAACAGTTTTTTTCTTAAATCAACAGTCTTACAGCACTTACAACAAAAATACAAATCACCTAAAATAAAGCACCTCTTCTCTTTCAAAATATCAAGAGAAGCACAAAAAACAATGTCCATTCTGTACAAAATCCAAAACAATTCACAAAAATGGAATGTTCAATGTTAAAAATCTAATCATTAAACCAATTCTCCATATATTAAAAGAAAAAAATTCCGAGACAAAAAGGCAAAGGGTCAGACAGTGCACTAAATGTACAATGGGATGAGTTTAAAATGAAAACAACAGCTGGTTTGGTCACTTAGCTTTGTGCATAGATTTAAGGCATTTTGTAGCAGTTTTCCGAAGAGACGAGAGTGGCTTCGAGACATTCTGAGAAGGACTTATTTTTCTTTACAAAATACAGAGGAGAGAGAGAAAGGTGGTAGGAGAGGTGGCTACCTACAAAAGGCACCGTTTACTTCTTTGTTTCTCCCAAATAAGCAGGTCGGTGAAAACCTGAGCAAAATCCATGGAGAGTCCATTCAGCTACATGTCCGTGACAAGATCCTTCTTCCATGGTCGAAAGGGTTCATCTCTGCCACCTTTCATGGAGCAACGTTCTTTCAACACATTGTCTGAAATACAGGGGAGAGAGATGCAATGGAGCACAAATGGCATTCGTATGGCATCTGATGCGTCATACAGACGTGGTTGCAGTCCGACAGATTGCGTTGATCATCAGCAGTAGGCTTCGAAAAACAACTTACAAGTGGTTCTTCACATCTGTGCTTAAAAGGCAATAATCACAGAACTAACATGATTCCGTTAGAAAACAACATGTGTAAACAGTCTTCAGAGGCAGCAAAAGGACTGGGCTCTTCACATTTGTATTTTTGTACACAAGGAGGAAGATTGATTTGCAGAAGCACTGGCGCACACACTCACACACACGCTCGCGTGCATTCGATTTCACACACATCGTCTCTTGGTGCGGTTGTAAAAGCCTCTCCTTTAAATACTCAAGGTGTTTCAAATGACTTTCAGAGAAATTCATTGTTTCAAAATGGCACTTTAAAGCCATAGGAGGGGGTTCCTTCCTACCCCACATTCTCTTGCAGTCTTTAATCAAAGCATCAGAGTTGAATTAGTAACGCCCAAAAGAAAAAAAACTAATAAGGTTAAATAAATACATCACAATTATTAAAAGAAAACAAAATTGCAGCAGTAGCCAAATGAGGTATCTATGTATTGCTCTATGTTGAAGGGTAAATGAGCATTTAAAATTAAATAAATTAAATCGACCGAATGAACGAAAAAGAAGAAAACAAATCATCAGTGGTTGGTTGGAGATGGGTGGCGTGACGTAAGATGTTTGGCTGAGGGCAGTAGAGGTGCTCTGCGAGCGCTGGGGTGTCATGACTCTTGGCTTCCCTGAGATAAGACTCTGGAACTGGGTTCTTCTGTGGCACGGCCCGTTTCGGACTCCCCCTCCTCGGAGCTCCCTGATGCCTCTGGCTCCATGGCACTCCAACTGGCCTTGTTCAGGCCCAAATGGCCGAGCATGGTCTGAGAGAGCCGCGTGTCCGAAAAGCGCGCCCACTCAGCAAACAGAGGCTCCACCACGTAAGTCATGAAACCTGGTGGCAGAGAAAAAGAATCAGAGGCAGAGATCACTAGATCAGCCAGACCTTATAAATAAATCATTTATCGTAATGATAATTATAATGCGATTATTACATAATTACTATATTATAAACACACATAATAAAATTAAAAAAACAAAAGCAAATTTATATATTTAAACATTGTAATATTATTACATTGTAATACTATTATTACTAGGTATAATTATAAACACTATTTATATATTTGCTTCTAATACAAATATATATATATATATATATATATATATATATCTTTTCTTTTTTTCTGTTTTCTGAACAGTTTAATTATGTTTTATTATCTTAATAAATATGCACACATTTCCAGAACAGAAATCTAAACACTGGATAAAGCCAGGTTCAAAATTGTTTCATTTTGTTGATCTATTAGATTTAAAGCTTTCATAGAAGGGATTTTATTTCTTTTATTCAATTTAATAATGAATAACAAATTTTGCATCTCTTTTTATCATTCTATAAAACAGAAAATACTGTCAACAGCCAGAAAAAAACAAACAATTCAACATATTTTTAGGAATAAAATGTTATAAATCAAGCAAATGTCATATGAACAAGCACCTCTGTAATACTCGTCAAAATATAGATAAGAATAAAACTACAGTTAGGTTTATGTAAGTGCTACTGAAGTAGTTATTTCTGGTTCATTTTGAGCAAACAGGCCTTTAAAGATGTGTATTGAAATCTACATACGCAAATAAAATATAATAAACACTTAAATGTGTATTTTGAAGTTTTCTTTCCACTAGTCTGAAACAAGACAAGTTAGGGAAGTAAAATAGCACAAATTCTCAAAACTGACCAGTGCCTGAAAAAAACTGTAGTGTCTTGCCTTAAATATATATATATATATATATATACAGTGGGGAAAATTTTCTCCCGTATTCAGGGAAGAATGTTCCATTTCTTACCGATTTGAACACTGGCTATGGTGTTGGCTTCACTATCACACAGTGGACTGATTTCAAGTTTATGCTTCTTTTCAATGTCACCTAAATAGGATGATGACAACAAAGCACAATGATTATCTTTTGAACACAGTGAACTAACAGCACACGTAAAGAGCATGGTCATCATGAGAGCTGGGTACCTTGGTGGAAAAATTCCTCCGTGACCTTCTCACTCCACTGTTTGCTGAGCTCCCATGGTCTACATGGGTTACAGATATCCGCACACTTCAGGGCCATCTGGAACACATGCGAATTTATGGCCAAAAGTGTCTGTCTTTATTTAAAAATATGGTATGCAGTCCCTTCCATTTAAAAACGGGACAATCAACTTTTAAGGGACAAAGTACATTAAAGTCAGCATTAGAATTTTTTATAATAATTTTCCTTTTTTATTTAAAGCAAACATCTCAAATTTTTTCAGTCAAAGCTGGCATATAAAAAGTATATATAAACCGCATAATGTTTGTTTTTAGTGACATTAATACTGAATTCCCACCTGCAGAACGAAATGTCGATGAGAAGCGTTTCCTAAACTCAAGTCGTTCTCATCCAGATGTGTCCTGAACCGGGACAGGTACTCATTCTGTCGGCTGATATCTGTGGCCAGAATGAGTGATCCCAGCTGCCTCTCTATACTCAGACTGTTAGAGACACCAGTTAAAGTCAGTCAGTCATAACAGAGGTCATTTACATAGAGAAGTCTTAAAGAGCTAGTAGGAAAAAAAAGGCTTTTTTTTTTTTGTTTGTTTTTGTTTTTTTACAAAAAGAGGATCGAAAAATAGAATGGAAAAAAGATGACTTATTTGTGTTGTAATAAGCCGTCCTTAATATTAACAAAAATACTTTAGGCTAAAACGAAATGGAGATAGTAACCTGTCTTCCGCAGGAAGATTGGAAAAGAGTTCGGTCTCTCTGAGCAGACCCACTGCAGACCTCCAGTGATGGTTCTCCAGAACTGAGGTATTCTACAGACCGACACAAACACACCTCAGTGCTGACTGACTTTGACATCTTTACAAATACAGTAATTTACTTAGACCATAAAGAGGATTGTGGCGCTAACGATGTGCTTAAATCCCATTGGATGGTGCTCTAACCCGGTACAAAGCTGCAAGGTAATGGTTGGTTTTGATGAGGAAAGGCTGGTTGACTCCAGGGTGGTCCAGATCGTGTGTGGCAGCGGCCAGCAACCCTAAGAGGATGTCGAATGATGTGAGGGACTCGGCGAGCTGTGAAAACACACAGACGACTATAAGACTACATGTAATCATCAAAAGTGAATTTAAGGTACATTTAATACAGGGACAATCACCTTGGGTTCTTTCAGGTAACAGTGCATGGCCTGGGTGACATCAGCAGCATGGACTGCATTATGGTAAGGGTTCTGATTGTGGTAGTCTTCTTGAACCAGAACTGAAATCAAGAGTACAACATTTAAAGTAATTCAGCAAGATTTGTACAGTCAGTATATTAGGGCTCCAGCTAATCGCCTAAATCGATGATGACAATCAATAACTAATTTCATTGTCAATTAGTTGGATCGGTGCACTGTGGCACGCAGAACCTCCACCAGAGATGTTTACAGTAACAATAAATTCATATTTATTATAATAAATATATATTTTTAGAATTAGTAGTATAAATTGTGGAGGTCACATAACCCAAATTTGTGCAACGTATAGAAGATTTTTGTTTGGAGAATATCACTGTGCATAATGTGGAATAACATGTATTTAATCAAATAAAACTGTGTATTTTAAAAATAATATTAATGAAAGAAAAAAAACTGTTTCAGTCATAAACATAAAAACACTTACCTAGAAATCGACGCAATTTAACCATGTCTAACTGGAAGAGCTCAATGAGGCCATACTGGTTCAGCAAATTAAATGTCAAGAACACAAGACTGTTTCCTTAAAAACAACAAAGAATATAAGAGGAATGAGGAATTGGGCAAGGCAAGGCTTCATCTTCAAAATTGCACAGCCACGATTCAACCAGCTGGTGGCAGAGCTGACCACAACTAAATGTGAAGTGTACCTATACAATGTGGCTTGCTATAGTGCAGTAAAAGCACAACAAATCTCACACACACAGAGATATGAAGGTTCTTCAGAATCAAAATATTTACCATTTGTAAGTCTGTCAAAGAGGAATATATCAAAATTCCAGCTTCCAACCTTTTCAAGCATACACTGTGAGAAAATGACAGTGAGAACACATGAAAAATCAATAGCTGATTTGGAAACCATACAACAAATCCTGAACATTCGACGTAAACTAAAGTCACCGTTTTTTTAACACAGAGTTTGTTTGTGGTCCCATACCTTGGCCTGACCGCAGTAGTCCTCGTCCAGGATGTGGAGGGGGTTGAGTTGAGGCGCTCCTCGCAGCAGACGGGAAGAAAGCAGGTGTCGCTGGAAACTAAAGAGCCTCCGGATTCTCCGAGCTGGAATCGTCCCTGCTGATTCAGCACGGGCTGTACATAAACACACACACACACACACACATACCAAAAAGGACATGGAAATTCCATGATGCAAAATGTCAGATAAAATTTGTATCCTCAATAATTAAGCTGAAATTTCTCTCATATTTGAAGCTTTTAGTGTCTTTAGCATTCGTTCTTGTCCAAATCCCCCCCCCCAGCCCCACTGACTGGAGTCACTGCTGTTTAAAACTTTGGTTGCTATCATTGCGATTGTGGCACTCAGGCAACCTACGAGAGGTCACACACACACACACACACACATACCAAAAAGGACATGGAAATTCCATGATGCAAAATGTCAGATAAAATTTGTATCCTCAATAATTAAGCTGAAATTTCTCTCATATTTGAAGCTTTTAGTGTCTTTAGCATTCGTTCTTGTCCAAATCCCCCCCAGCCCCACTGACTGGAGTCACTGCTGTTTAAAACTTTGGTTGCTATCATTGCGATTGTGGCACTCAGGCAACCTACGAGAGGTCACGCCTGACTCAAGCACAAAACACAAGACCAGTCTGAAGAGAGTCTTTAAAACAGTTTCATTTCACTACAACAAAAGAGCAATAAATCTTTTCATGTTCTCCTGAATTCAGCTCGCCCACATTGGTAGATCAACACAGCCTGAGGGACTATGAGAATTAGGGAAAATGCCTTTAATATAATTAGGTTAGAATATATTAATGGGATAAGAAACATATGGGATATCTGCGTCAGTGGGCACAGTATGGGATAACACATGGGATAATGGGATAAGAAACATAACTGTGAATGAGAAGCGCCACTTAAAAATAAACTAGACTCTATTATGATTTATTTTTTTTAAATAATAAAAATGTAAATAGACATCCCTTTCAAATTGACAAAAAAAATAGACATTTAAAACTGTTTATTTAATTAATGTTTTCACTGAAGTAGGAATGTGTGCGAGTGCTGGATTCGGTACTTACAGTGCAAAGTGCGGAAATCGACGCCCAGGTACGGGTGCGAGCCTCTTCGTTCAGGTTCAAAGCCTACCTGACTTCTCACTCTCACATCTCCTAGAAGGCATCAACACAAAAGTCCTCAAGAGATTTGTTAGCAAACATAACATTCAGCAGGTTACAGGCCTGGATACAGGGGGACAGAGAGACAGACATACACACACCGCCGATGGATGGGGAAAAGGAGAGGACAGGAAACAGACCATGCATCGCCATGCCAGAGGGACTTATGCATTAGTATTCAGATGGCTAGGAGCAAAGGAGGACGCATGGAAGAAAGACAAGCTTGTGCTTCAGTCCAGGACAGAATGGAGAGGAAATCAGAGGGACTTCAACGAGGCTGGCCAAAGCTCTAAAGTCACATCTGTTAAAAAGCCATTCAATAGGCCTTTTCATCAAACTCTGGCTGTGTGTGTGTGTATTTGCATGGAGAGGGAGAAGGAGGGGGACACATAAACTTTTACTGAGTAATGGCAGCCTCCAACATGTCAGTCACTACTGATTGGAGTTCATGTGCAGTAAAAATGTAGTCAACGTGTAAATAAGTCAATAAACAAAGAATAAAACAGTCTCCCACCAGTATATTTACTTACTTGAAAACAGCTGTTTGAATATTACACAAGCTCCTATCAAAATACCAAAACTGGGAATTACAATTACATAAAAACACGATTCAAATTAATTAAAAAAGATACGAGTTTTAAACGAAACACAACAACAACAAAAAGCAATCATAGAGTCGGATCGACTGTACAAGAGTGTAGCACATGCAACAGGTGAATCAGACAAAAAAAAAAGAGAAAAATCAGACGGAAGCTATTTGGACATGCAGAAGAAAAGCCGAAGAAGCAAGACCACATCCAAATTATGGAACCAAAAGTGTGCTCTCGTCTTCTGTTTTTGCGCCAAACTTCTCGTACGCAAACCAGAACTCATCTCCTGACCCACAAATATTATTAGAAGACATTTTAACGTGAGAAATGACACTGATTAGACTGTGCCCACTGACGCAGGTCTTTAAGGAGGAATGGTGTGGAAAGTTATTAAAGGGAAAGGCCGTGAAAGCGAGCGAGCGGGTTTGTCTCTCCTGGTGGTGAGATGTGTTGGTTCATACCTGGTGTAAACACGAATGAGGGTTTGATTGTTTTGTTTGTCACAGCTTAAAAACAAAACAAAAAAAGAAATTACGATCAAATATTAGGTCAGGGTTAGCTTTACTAGGTTTTTGGCTACATGTTTTGAGGCGTGATGTTACTGAACGTGTAGAGACTCCAGGTTGTTATGATGTTCTAGCGTATTGCTAATTCATGGTACAGTGACAGAAAGCAGAGCAGTCAGTGTGATTCGTGAAGTGATGAACTCGGATGTGATGAACTAGTGTAAATGCCAGTCAAACGGATTTAATGTGGAACCTCCACATACTTAGTAGTCCACTGTTGTGTAAACTCTCTGACAGCACAGATCACGGGCCTCATGTATAAAATTTACGTAGGTTTCATCCCCAATCGGAAACTGCTTAAAAATGAATCGCACAAAACACAATCGAGATGCACCGATATTGAAATTCTGCCCAATATGACTGATGCACAGCTGATATAATAAATCTATACAATCTATATTGTTAAAAACAAGAAAAAGCACAATAAAAACGACTGTTACATGCACATGGCATCTCTCCGACATGCACTCTTAAAAACAAAGTGCTCTCAAAAGGTTACATTTTTGCCATAAACTATGAAGTGCAATAGTGCCCGCCAACTATTTCAGCAGCATTGGTTCTGGAAGTATTTTTGTCATTCATTTTTCCCATAAGGATTTTCAAAAAGTCTTTGTTAAAGCCTTATAAGCCATGAACCAAGCCAACCAGCTGCAACATTAAAAACGTTTATTTTTAACAAAAAAGTATTTGAAAATCAGACAAAAAGACAAAGATACAGACTTATTGGCTTGTACTTAACGGCTTACATGAGGGAAACAACTACAATCCCATGAACCATTGCAAATGACAAATTGAAAATGGTGAATTTTTTATTTATTTTATTATTATTTTTTTTTTTGAGTGAGAGAGCACAGGGAAATTCCCTGCAAGGTCTTTTGGCATGATTTGCTGGTCATAACTCTCTGACTGGTGCCATTTTCCTGCACAGCATCATGGGTAATGTAGTTTTCACCAAGAATTCCATTGGTACACAATTATTTTAAAAAGTTCACAACAGATCTGTCTTTAAAGGTTTGTAAGTTATCTTAAAAAAAAATGATGTCCCTATGGAGAAAATGAATGAAGTTTTTACTTCTGGAACACAACTGTTATACTCTATTACAATTCCTTTAAATTAGAACAGTAAAAAATATCCAACAGCAGGTGATAAATATCCAATAATGACCAATATCTATAAATAAAAACAACAAAACTAACATGTTTTACAAGTTCACTTTACAAATCCTAGTTAGCGCATAAAAGTGCACAAATGTTTTATTGCATTTCGCCATCCATACACGTGACACTATTGCGTTTCACAATATTAGAAACTAGAAAAAAAATTATACAGGCTATAAAATTTCAAATGTGCTGATAAGAGAGATGATTAACTGCAATAAAACTACTCTTAATCACTATCTCACTTTAGCTTTCCCGTAAAATGTCTAAATATCCTTAAATTCAAGATAAATTAATCTGAAATCAAAATTTCCAAAGACAAAACAATGACTAAGCATAAACCTAAGATGATTCCTAGGTTAATCCAACATGGGATTGAGTATGTGCTTTTCGATGTGCATTTTGTTTGTACGCAACGTTTAAACATCAGGCCCTGTCAGATCTTTCAGTGCTGTCTTATGAAGTCAAAGGGGCACAGATAAAATTCTTGGAGGTCACTGGGATCAGAAATCAGGCTGAGTTGGGGCTTGATAAGTATTAAATCAAAGCAAATTTCACAGAAACGCTAAGCAGATCCCAGTTGAGGAACGACTTAAGCTGTGGATGTAGTGAAGAGATTATCAGAGGCTTTTTGACTGATGGTTGACGCTCTCCATCCTCTCTGTTACACAATCTGTCGTATAATGTGCTGCGCTTGGTAACTTCCAGTGCAGAGCAATACATCTACCCTGTGTCTGAATTTGTTTACAGGTTGTGTGTGTGTGTGCATTAGGCAGGGAAGATGATGCTTACCTAGCATGCGAATATACAGAGCGGTTTGATCAGAGCTGTCATAGGAGATTGCTCCGCGTCTCTGCGGGGGAAGAGATGCAGACAAACGTCAGTATTTGCATTTACTCAAACATGTAGGAAAAACTCATATACAAGCCACATGCTCAGCAGTGTATATTCAAATATGGCTCAAACAACCCCATCACAACTTCAAGAAAGAAAATCGGCTCTTAATAGTTCTCTATTGTGTATTTTCTTTTATAAATCTTTGTCATATTTTGCTCTGTTCTTTGGAACCATCTGATGAAAACCAATAATTGTAAATATTTTATACTAAACGTTATTTAACAGTCAATGGGATTTTAAGAGGGAAAAAGAGGGCTTTTAAAAGGCCTTGACAAATAGAAGTGTCTTTCAAGTACAAAGATAAACAATCCACACTAAACAATCCAGAGATGAATGAACAATCCTGACGACAACTTGTGAGAAGAGAAAGCATTCATTTAAGTACCTTGGAGTACAAGAAATACTATGGTAAATGGTAATAATTCATTAGCATTTTATAACATTTAGCACAACACCACCATTTAATTATTAAATATCTATAAATATGCTATTGACCACACTCAGGAATGCAGAGATATCAAGTCTGTCCAATATCAATAATAATCTGATTATTATTTTACATTTATCTTATTTTATAAAAACCTGATAAATGACTGATATTAAAATACTGTATTATTTTGTTTAAACAAATAAAACAGCATAAATTAAATTACATCACTTAAAATAAGGAATACACATCATCACAACATTAAAAAATACAGTATGAAATAATATAATATCATAGTATAACAAAGTGCCATAAAACCAACATTAATATCTATACATATGCTATTGAACATACTTAGTGATGCACAGATATTAAATTCTGGCTGATATTGATAATGCAATAATTAGTTTATTTTTCTATTATAAAAACGGATAAATGGCAGATATTAAAACACTGTATTATTTTGTCTAAATAAATTAAAAATAAACAGCATAAATTAAATTCAATAATTTTAAAAAAAGTGAATAAGCATCACAACATTAAAACCGTATAAATAATAGATAATCATTCTGATATCGGCAAATATTTTATTTGCTGATATTTACTTTTAACAGTGTTACTAATATTAGTATTTCTAAAGATCACATTTTCAATAAACATTAGAATAAATGATAGAAAATAGATGATCATGCACAATTAAATAGCTATCCAATACATAAATAATGCATCTCTAAACACTCCTTTTTTAAAAATATAAACTGTAAAAAAATTTGATACTAATATTAGATTTAAACAACGGCATTAGGGCTTCCTTCAAGTCTTTCATATAATTATTCAAGTAGTGTCTAAGTTAATATAGCTCTATATCTCTAAACACTTCTTATTTAATTGGCTGGCCAATCTGTGACTTAAAAACTCAATCCCACTATAATCACATGAGAGACAGGCACATGAAGGGCCGAATGTGAGCTCAACTCTGTTAGCAGCTCAGCCTTCAATGCACACAGGCTCACACTGCAATTTCCCAGCAGCGGGAGGAAGCTGGAGCGGAGAAGCCTGCTTCACTGAATTAAACCTGCATCATCTGTCCAGTGTGATCTGCTCTCCTGTCCATTACGCCTCCACACTGGGCCATTCAGAGATTAAGTCAAGAACAGACACTTGCACCGCTGCTCATTATGCAGATGCAAGTGTGATTGGCCGTCCCAGAACAGTGGGCGGAGCTTTCTATGACCGCAGCACTCGAAAGAGGCCTTTGTGTGCCGTAAACGTAGTTTCCGTACTCGTTGTTTCTTAAAGGTAGCACAGGCTTATTTTTTTTAAGATGTTACAGACACTGCTAGCACAAAACAACTAGATGACAGCATAAGGGCTTGTTATAAAATTCTTTGTGAGAGGACTTGATGAACACATCCAACTTTCGCTGTCGTATTTTCTTTGTTTCTGGCAAGCACTCATCCATGTGAACTCAAAACACAAGGGGATCCTTTGGAGAAGATGATGAGGAGAAATGTTTGCACAGCACGTCTTGTGCCATCATACACCCAAAAAGAACCTGTGCATACGCAGACAAAGACAAGCACTTGAGCGCAGTTTTTAGATGGCTGGTCAGGGTGTCCCCAGATGGCATACAATTCAGTCTCTGACGTCAATGGCCTGAACCAATTTGCATACTTGATTTTTATCCATTAACAGCCCTCTCGCGCCTCAAGCCTCTGCCCAATAAAACTGCAAATCCACAAAACTAGGGCTGTCGCTAAAGATGGGCAATAAAAGCCGAAGAACATCTCAGCTTTGTGACAATATCTCAACATTTATGTTCTGTGTTTCTGTCCAGTTTTTTCAAACAGCAACTGGTGCATGTAAAAATAGAGTCATATATATATATATATATATATATATATATATATATTAATGCAAATATATTATATTATTATATCTGTATTTGTATTAGATATATTATTGATTGATTATATATATATATATATATATATATATATATGTGTGTGTGTGTGTGTACATATAATACAAAATAAAGCTAATAAAAAGCTTTTAAAAAAGCATGTTTTCATTGTATTCATTTAGTAAAAAAAAAAGTTCTTCCATCTATCCATCTATCTATCTATCTATCTATCATTGCAAAAGTTAAATATTAACCAAACCACACCAATGGCATCTTACCATTACATTTAATATCCCTAAACACGGCTGTGAGAAGCAACTAAGATGATTTTAGCACAATATGCTCATGTAATCCTGTGGCAAGTGCATTTATTAAAAATGAAAGACAGAGGGTCTGGTAATCTGCAGGCGGGCATTATTCGGTCAGGGTATTAACGTTGCTGGAGGCCAGTCTGCAGTTTGAGAGGCAAACAGGCCTTAACTGATGGCAGTGCTTTGAGTTAAGTTAATAACCAGTGGAACAGATGAACTGTAAAACTGTTAAGTGAATATTCAGGCTACAAAAACAACTGCACCTTGCAGTAACCCTCATATGACATTTTGACATCTGTAATACCCACCATCAGGCCGGTGAAAAATGAGACTCGAGTCATCCACTATTGCAGCGACAGTATTTTAGCATCAACAAACTCAGTGTTTACACACATTACTTGGTGTTTTTGTGTGTGAGTAATTTCTATCAGGGGGCTGAGCAGGGCATGACAAACCACCCAGACGTGCCCATATGGGCTCAGCACACAAGCAGCATCAGCGCAGCCGGACATGTAGTGGGAACGGAGGAGTTGAATTTCTTGGAGAGGCCAACGCTGCTTGTGCACCAGCGAGGCGTGACTTTCAGCGAGCTGGCTAGGGGCCTGAACAAAAAAATAATAATAATAAAAAATTGGGAGTTCAGCAGAAATTATAAAAAATAAATATTCAGGTAGGCTGATTTTAAATTAATAGCAAAACAATTCAGCTCACAACAGACAAAAACAAAGGTCAGCCGTTCATGGAAACTTTTTATCCACAACAGACTGCAAATTATTATTATTATTTTTTTAAACCCACACATTTAAAATAATAATAACAACAGAATACTAGCATAATTGCAAAGTAAACCAGCATTAATAAATAATCAAAATAATAAACAATGAAAACTGGATAATTAGATAAAACACAAATGAAGAGCGATTATTATATTTATAAATATTTAACAAAAACATTAAATTGTGTCCATTAAAGGGTTAAAGACCTTTATACCTTATTAACTAGTACAGTGTCTAAAATACTAATAATATTCTGGTGTACATATTGCAGCTCACCATGTACCTCAGTCTGTTACACACATTACTTGGTGTTTTTGCATGCAAGCAATTCTCGGGGCAAAAATATATACACTAAAATATTCATTTTTGACAATTAACTGGGAAAAAGCATTAATATACCTCAGCATAGATTTAATGCCTCTTGTAAAAGGTTTTAAATAGTTAAAAAGTTGCAAGGCCTAGTAGTACAAGTAAGACCAGACCAGCATGGGTGGATGTGTATTCATTGAGACTTACTCTAACTACACGAGACTTAACGAGTTTAGACTCCATACTTGGCCTACACTCTTAAAAATAAAGGTGCTTCAAAAGGTTCTTCAAGCAATGCCATAGAAGAACCATTTTTGGTTCCACAAAGAACCATTCAGTCAAAGGTTCTTTAAAGAACCATCTCTTTCTTACCTTTTTGTAATCTGAAGAACCTTCTTTCGCCACAAATAACCTTTTGTGAAACAGAAAGGTTCTTCAGATGTTAAAGGTTCTTTATGGAACCATTTAGACAAAAGGTTCTTCTATGGCATCGTGAAGCACCTATATTTTTAATAGTGTAGTCAGCTAGCCAAAGCCAAACCCAGACTAACTTATGCATAGAATACAGTGGAAAAATTTGTAATGTGCTAAATGGAGCAGAGAGTACTAGACTTTTAGTTTAAAGTATAAATGTAAAAAAATGTGATAAAAAATGTATTAGCCAAAATATTGAATAATCCAATGTAGTAGAAGTAGCAGTACTACTAAAATTACAGTTTATTTGTTCTACAGTTTCTCTAAAATATGTATTTAAGAATACATTTTAGCCACAAAAATTTAACCGGATTATGTTCCGTCTTGTTTATAATCGGTCAAAAGTTTCTTAGTCGTCTAAACACTGTACTGTCTGTCTGACACAAGACTCTCCACAGCCTCAGGCGAACCTGAAACTCAAACCCATCCAGCTAGTTTGTTCAACAGTTCAGTCTTTTATGTGTCATTCATTGATGTTTCTTAAATACCTCATTGAGACATCACATTCAACTAAACTATTTAGACGATCAACATTTCACGTCTCAAAAATGCATGCAGCCACGCCTACTTCACCATGATTCCAGATATTTGCAATGCAAATGAACGGCTTCATCTAGGCTAGTCATAATAAAACCACACCGGCTCATGACTGGACAAGCAAGTAAGAAAAATAAAGATCTTATAAAGAAAATAAGATCGGAGAACATTTATTTACAAAGACATTAAAGCAAAACATTCCATATTTTATCTCTAGAA